ATTAAGTTGTGACAGTATTTCAAAGTCGTACGATCGGTATACATTGAAAATCAGCTTTACTTACAAACCACCACACAGACAACTGAGGCTGAAGAGATATACGCAGGTGTTTCCACAATAGGTATCTTGGTATATATATATATATATATATATATATATATATATATATATATATATATATATGTGTGTGTGTGTGTGTGTGTGTGTGTGTGTGTGTGTGTGTGTGTGTGCGTTAAATAAAAACAGACAACTTTAAATTATTTGCTCTGGATTTACATTAAGATCTATGGATTTTATCCTCCTTAGGTTTACCCATACGGATTACCTAGTTTTCATAACTATATATATATATATATATATATATATATATATATATATATATATATATATATATATATATTAAAATCTATTCTTTACATAAATTGCTAAAACCCAATTACAGCTTCTTTCTCTTTACTTCCTTCTCCTCTTTCTTTTTCCTTTTTCTTTCTCTCTTTTCCCCTCCTACTTCAATATATCACTTCCGTTTTAACCGTCTAAATAGGTCAAAGTCTGGTCACTCCTCCTACCCCAATACTAAGTATGATTGAGAGAGATATGAAATTAATCCCTCCCTATACTCTACCATGTCTCTTTCTTCTCCCTTTACCTCCCCTGTTAAATTACAAAAACTTACACTACCCATCAATTTTAATTTCATTTTTCGTTTCATTTCATTTTTGAAAGTGCTATCTGATGATCCGGCGTCCTTTAAAATGACTCTGGTGAAATAAATTATTATAATGGTACCTTAAAGTGGTCTGTTTTTCTTTAAAATATTAACTCTGGATTTAGATTGAGCTCTCAGGATTTCATCCTCATTGGGATTACCCATACGGATTACCAAGGTTTTCATAACTTATATATATATATATATATATATATATATATATATATATATATATATATATATATATATTATTTAGTTGGATTGATGTGAGTTTGTGACCCTGGGTTTAACGCTACTTGCGATCATGAGACAAACTTATTAATTTTTTAAATTGTGGGCTTATATATGTTTGCGTATGTCGGTGTTTTTATGGTAGTGGGAGGAGAAATTGTCGTCGGAACGACACTCAAACGTATGCGAACATACATACATATTCATGACAGCAAAAGACTACAAAACGTAAACGTGCGTGTATGTATATCTGCGTACGTATGAGTGGCATTCCAACTACAATTTTTACTCCCACTACCATAAAAACACCGATATACACAACCATATATAAGCCCACAAGGGCGCCTAAAGGTGATGTAATGGGTAGCAAGCTTGTCTCGCTAGAACAATTACGACTTAGTGAGTTCTATCCTCAATGGGTGCCCCATTCTTTCGGCCTTGTGTCACATTTGAGCTACGCTTGAAAAATTAATATAAGCCCACAATTTTAAAAAATAATCAGTTTATCTGACGATCGCAAATACCGTGAAACCCAGGGTCACAATCTCACTCCAATCCAACTAAATATGTTAGCTCTATTACTGATATTGAGCGCGTTCCTATAAGTACCGAGCATATATAATATAAAAGGGAAAATTGAAGCCTGACGATTGCGCCTAGCATGAAACAGCCTGTCGCCTCTGAATGTTGACTTCAATGTTCAGTTTTATATTTAATTTACATAGGCTCTATCTCAGATATAGAGCACTTTATCTCAAAAATACAGCACACCTAATATATATATGTATATATATACACACACAACACACACACACACACATATATATATATATATATATATATGTGTGTGTGTGTTATATATATATATATATATATATATATATATATATATATATAAAAATATATTTTAAAGCATAAATATTGTGAATTGACAGTGAGCTTTCTTCTTGGATCACAGCCGACATAGATAATTTTTACATTCCCGGAAATACCAGGTGAAACCTCAATCCTCTCCATCGTTCACACCAGCATGCTCTGCCGCTATAGCCCACAGGAATCAATATTTCCGGCTATACCAGCCTGTCAATTCCAATCAAATCAAATGCCTATTCGTGGATTTACGTAATAAATGTGAACGTATCCTCGATAAAGCTAAGTCTTTGTTTGCTGAGAGAATGAAATACCGTATTGCATCTAAAATCTTTGGGTTTTGTGATAACTGACGGCTCTGTAATAATATATTAAATAAGATTATGTGCTATAATCCCGCCTTTCTTCAATGAATTTCCGGTATTAACGTCTTCTGCTGTTAAAGCAAAATTTTTCGCCCGTAAATTCTCTTTAAAGTCTACGCTTGGTTCATCTGGAGAATCCTTGTCTAAATTTCCTGAGTGATATCCATATAACCCGTTCTATGGTCTCTGCTATCATTTCTAATGTGAATCCCTACAAAGGATGTGGACATAACGGCGCACTTGTAATAGTCCTTAACAAGTGTGCTCCACAACTGGCTCCTATTATTTATAAACTGCATAATAAATGTATTGGTGCTTCTTGATTTATTGAGCAGAAATCTATCTCATATACAGCAATAAATTGTTAATGAAATGCAGAAAAAATAACCGGCGTAGTTGCAAAGTTATGCAAATATGGACGCCAGTTTTGTTAACTGCACGGATACAGTATTAGATCGTTGCAAAAGTTCGTGTCCGATTAAAAATTAGAAACACAATTTTACATTATCTGTTGAAACTTGACTAATGCATGGAATAATAATGCAACGCAAAATGTACATAGAACAAAATGTATTGAAACAAGAAAGTGAACACAATATTTACATATAGTCTTTTGTATATTCCTGGGAAGACCGTTCCTGGAGAATGTGTTGACTGAGTCGCAGTCGGGCAGAGTCTCTGGTTGAATCTCTTGATTCCTCCCTCTCTTCCCGGTACCAACCATATTTATATGGTCGGTACTCCACTATGCAAATTAGGTGGATCCTACCACAACAATATCTACAAAAAATAAACATTTATTAGTTAAGTACATAGTCGCCATTGTTTGAAAAACTGTCTTCTGTCGTTTTACAATTTTGTTGACGCCATTTTGTATTGTTTTTTTTTATGGAAGAAGGTTATGAAGTACATTTCCACTAGCTCTAGAGAGTCAACTTTGTTTGTCATTGAAATTGTTCTTTAGAGACTGGGGTAAATATAAATCCAAAGGAGTTGAGTCAGGAGAATAGGGTTGGCGCTGGAGGGTTTCCTACTTCAACTATTTAGGCTTCTTCAAGGTCTGTTTTGTAACATGCGTTTCTGACATTGCCGTGATTGAAAATGGCGCCTTTTTTATTTGTTCAAATAGATTATTTTTCTTGAACCCAAGTCTCTTCAAATGGTTAAAGGCAATTGAGATATAGATTTTCAAACTTTCAGCAATCTCCTCCGTCGAAATCTTTGTTTGATACTCCACAATGATACGCAGAGAGTCTTCCTCGACGTCGAAAGTTCACCCGGAGAACGTGGTTGATCGTTTATGGTAAAATCACCTTGACGAAATCTGCCAAATCACATTTTGACCATCAAAAGAGTTAGAGCCCGATTAAAATACATCTTCTCAATGTTTAATTTTAAGTTTTTTATTTTATTTTATTTTTTGTCGCAGTTACAATGCTTACTTCTTTCTGAAATTCATAGAATGTAATATGGCTAAATTACAACTTTCATCCTCCATCTTGAAGGCATTCATTTGTGGACAAAATGTGAAAGAAACGCCAACAAAATCTGGCACGCAACTGAACGATGCAAGGTTTCAATCTAGAACATATATTGAAAGAAAAATAAAAGGTTCACTATTTAAAAAAATATAAAAAACTAAAACCATTTTGGTTTGTCGTAAAGAAATAAAAATGGAAAGAAATAAAAGAGGCCAAAAGATATTTCATTTTATCTGCCATGTTCTTTCAGTACGTAGGCGATCATCACTCTCCACCCCCCCTCTATCCCTTAAATCTCTCAATAAGTTCCTTCCCTCTGCTACCTCCTCCAGACCACGTTCTGTCATCCACCTACTCAAGCTCGTCAGGTATATCACGCGATGTTTTCCCTTATCTCTTTTTCCCCTCTTAACGACCCGTGAGTATCAGATTCTCCAGGCCCTCCTTCCTCATTATGTGTCCCATTATGTGTACCAGAAACTTCAGCGTCCTCTTTCTGATGTTAAGTATAAGCCTCCTCCTTGTTTGCATCCTCTCTAAGACCTCATCGTTTTTCACACGCTCGGTCCATAATATCCTTAGCATCCTTCTGTAGAGCCAGAAGATCATCTTTTCTAAATGTAGGTGAAGAAAAGAGGATGGTGAAATAAGTCACATATGTGAACCAATCAGAAATCAAGAAACAATTCTGGAATGAACTCCTTTGTCTCGAAAAAGTGTAAAAATAGACAGTCGATTAGGCAATGAAACCAGAGAGTCGATGAAATAATTTTGTCTCTTCTCACACACCATACATTTTCGGAATGATGACCGTTTGACCTTTTTTATTTATTTCCTTTTTTTCTTATCTTTTTTGTTTGTATTTCTTTATGTCAAACCAAAATGGTTTGCCAACTTCTAGTTTTCTATTTAATTTTTTTCAATGGTATTTTTTCTCTCCCTACAAACATACTAAAAATCTGTACGAAAACAAATTCCAGTGATAAGTTGCGGCTATTTTATATCAACAATAAAAATTGGGCACATACTTTTGCAATGATCTGATAGTATTAAAGTAATATGTTAATTCAACTTGAATAAATTACGTTAGTGCAAATATAGAATATTCTTTGTAAATATTCCCGCCATTCAGCGTAAAATTTTGCGCTGTGAAATAAATGTTGTGTATATTGGCGCTTTGAACTCAATGATCCAAGTTTTATTAAAAAAAAAAAAAAGGATTTTTAGTGATGCTTATTTTATCTTATTTATAAAATGTTCAACTTTGTCCGATTAACTTGTTTGTTGATTTTCGTCAAAAACTGCGTTGAAACTGCAGCGTTTAACCAGGGAATCGTTTCAGGGCTAAATATCAAATCTCGATCTATGCGAATAGGCATTTCTGAGGATGAATATTAGAGAGTAAAGCAAGGGGAAGGAGAAGAAAGAATGGAAGGAAGGAAGGAAGGAAGGAAGGAAGGAAGGAAGGAAGGAAGGAAGGAAGGAAAAGGAAGGAAGGAAGAAAGGAAAAGGAAGGAAGGAAAGAAAAGGAAGGAAGGAAAGAAGGAAGGAAGGAAAGAAGGAAGGAAGGAAAAGAATGGAAGGAAGGAAAACGAAGGAAGGAAAACGAAGGAAGGAAAGAAGGAAAAGAATGGAAGGAAGGAAGGAAAAGTAAGGAAGGAAGGAAAAGAAGGAAGGAAGAAAGAAAGGCAAGAAAAGGAAGAAAAAGGAAGGAAGGAAAGAAGGAAGGAAGGAAAAGAATGGAAGGAAGGAAGGAAGGAGGAAGGAAAAGGAAGGAAGAAAAGAAGGAAAAGAATGGAAGGAAGGAAAGGAAGGAAGGAAAAGGAAGGAAAAGAAGGAAGGAAGGAATGAAGGAAGAAAGAAAGAAAGAAAGAAAGAAAGAAAGAAAGAAAGAAAGAAAGAAAGAAAGAAAGAAAGAAAGAAAGAAAGGAAGGAAGGAAGGAAGGAAAGAAGGAAGGAAGGAAGGAAAAGGAAAGAAGGAAGGAAGGAAGGAAGGAAGGAAGGAAAGAAGGAAGGAAAAGGAAGGAAGGAAGAAAGGAAAAGGAAGGAAGGAAGGAAGGAAGGAAGGAAAAGAATGGAAGGAAGGAAAAGGAAGGAAAAGGAAGGAAGGTAGGAAGGAAAAGGAAGGAAGTTAAGAAGGAAGGAAGGAAAAGTGGAAAAAAGGAAGGAAGGAAAGGAAGGAAGGAAAAGGAAGGAGGGAAGGAAAAGAAGAAAGAAAGAAAGAAAGAAAGAAGGAAAGAAAGAAAGGAAGGAAAGAAAGAAAAGAAGGAAGGAAGCAAGGAAGGAAAGCGTGAACGAAATACTGCAGAGATGAAGAAAAATCAAGTAGGAAGGAATGGAGGGAGATTATTAAAAACAATTTGAATATAACAAGAAGAGTATAAATGAAAAGAAAAGAAAAGGAGAAGCGAACGGGTTCAACTTCTGAATTAGCCTATTACCCTCACTTTCGCACAAATATCCTTGTGAAAGGCATGAATGTATCTTCTTTTCCTTCAACTATAAATGGCTTACGTGATAGGACTCTGTCGTCTTGGGCGATGACAACTCTGCATTCAAAACCGCAGAGGAACCAACGGGACACTACCTAACTTTCATTCCTGAGGAGTCATGATAATTCGTAATTAAAATATAGGAATCTGCAGAGGGCAATAATTGTCTTCGTCCTGAAGAGACATGGAATTTCGAAACCACTTTTCTATATATACAAAAAAAAAACTGCTTTCTTAAAAACTGATCAAATTTGCTGCATCTGTTGTGTTCAATCTGACAATCTACAATATTTAGCTAAAAATCATCAATTCCAATTTAATCTTAGTTTAATTTCTTTTACATGATTCCAGTTTTTATTTCAATTAAATTATTTCATGCCGTTCCTTGAGTTTATTTGGTTGGTGTTCCAATACTCATTCCCGCATAACGTGTGACTCAAAATGATAAATATAGACCGAGTTTCCACTAGAGTAAAAAAGGTAGACATTAGTTGGATTTACCCTAGATTCAATAAGGTAGACATAAGTTGGATTTACCCTAGAGTCAATAAGGTAGACATATCCGTTTTCCTCTATAATCCAAATGGTAGTCATAGATCAGCTTTAACATTGAACCGAAAAGGTAGACATAAGTCCGTTTTGCTCTAGATTAAAAAGGGAAGATTATTTTAAAAAAAAAATCAAATATACCCCAAGCAAGGTATTAAAGCCACAAAGACTCACGGTGTTACTGGGTGTGGGGGAATTAGAATCATAATCATTAGAAAGGAACGAGAACAAATAAAGAGTCATCAGGAGAACAGTAGATAGTGATGGGAATGTGATTGAAGGAGAGACGCTAGATAAGGACTAATATTTTCGATTTGCATTAAATTAAGAAAGGTAGACACATGTTTGATATACCTTAGAAAGAAAATAGATACATGTCCGCTTCCCTCCAGACACAAAAACGGTAGACATTGATCGATTTTACACCATAATCTGCGAGTATCCTAATGGAAGATGACCGCTTTTGGTTGGCGTTATGCCCTTTCGTCAGTGGATACCGACAGGATAGGAAACTTCGTAAGTAACGTGACAGCGACTTGAATGGTCACTTATTAACACCGGGTAAAGTAAGCGATTTTTAACCTTATGTCAGATTAAGCGAGGTTTAGTAACAAAACAAAACGATTTAGCGATAATGAAAGCAAAATCTGAGGAAATGAGTAAGAAAGGGGAAAATGAACACACCAGAGAAAGAAAAAAAAAACGAATGAAAAGAAACAAACTAAGAATTAATCTTGGAAGAATTCATGGCAGAACAGAAAATAAAAGAAAAAAAGAAGGAAAAAACGAAAGAAATCTGGTAGAATAAGATGGCGATATTATACAGAAAGAAAATAAATATTATACAAAAGAAATCAAAGGATTTGCAAGACTGAAAATGGGGATTCAAACTAGAAGCAAAGGAATGAAAGAAAACGGGAATAAATTAATAAATGAATTGAAGAATAAAATAATGAATGAACGAGTGTGAAAGACGCAATTGACCACCTATTCATGTGCGAGACGGGTGGTCGTGCGAAAGCAGAAAGGGTGGGTGTGGTGTTAGTAGGTGACGAGAAAATTGATAAATGAATACAATTGAAAGTGAATGATTAAGGCGAGACATTAGCGAGCGGACTGTCACGGGTAAAAGTACGAAAGAAAAAGAAATAACGGCTTTGTAAGTGCGAGACAGACAGGGAGTGGATCTGAGAGTGGGCCTGCAGGTGTGCGCGAGATAGATACACTGAGAAAAAAGGAATGCTTTCATATATGTATGTGTGTGTATATGGGTAGATTGTAAGGAGTGTGTTCCTGTTTGAATATTCTCATATATAAACACACACACACACATATATATATATATATATATATATATATACTTTTACAGGTGTTTTTTATAGACACAATTTAAAGTTAATTCTCTGATTTTAATTAAATATTATTAATTATATTTAACGGGAGGAATGTTCAAGAAGTTTCATAGAAAATATGCGCTCTCTGACCTGTAAATCGAACCTGTATTCCTGTACGGAAACCGTCATTTGACCTGTCGTGCAATACAATTTAGCTACTGAGAAGCGTCTAGTTAGAAAAGTCCAAATTACTGTTTCAAAACAAACAATCTTCAACGACTTTTCTCGATCGATCATATCTGCTCACGAACCGTATCTTAACGTAAACAATGACAACATATAAAGAAATGTATTCAGTCGACAATTATTCGGGTTGAGGCATTCTGATATCTAGCCGCAATGAGGAACTGTGATTGCGGATATATATATATATATATATATATATATATATATATATATATATATATATATATGAAAACATATAGTCTTAACATGTGCTATATTTATGGGATAAAAGTGCTCAATATCAGAAATGGGCGTGTGTTAATATAAAAGTGGGCATAAAGTCAACACTTAGAGGCGACATCTAGCATGAAACGGACTGTCGCCTCTATGTGTTGACTTTATGTCACTTTTAAATATATATATATATATATATATATATATATATATATATATATATATATATGTATATGAAGTAATATAGTTTGAGTTATTTATATTTATGGGATAAAGTGCACAATATCAGAGATAGAGCGTATGTAAATACAAAAGTGAACATTGAAGTTAACCCTCAGAGGCTACAGACTGTTTCATGCTAAACGCAATCATCAGGTCTGATGATTGCGTTTAGCTATGAAACAGTCTGTCGTCTCTCTGTCAGTTGACTTCATTGTTCATTTATATATATATATATATATATATATATATATATATATAGTTTAAATGCATATACTATATCTATATCTATATCTATCTATATATATATATATATATATATATATATATATATATATATATATATATGTATGTATGTATGTATGTATGTATCAATTGAATTTATTACCGGAGAGTATATTGAATTTTAAATATATAATTTTCTCTGCCGAACTGAGAATGTCTGGAAGACATTTTTAACGCAGGCAAAAGCACAGAAATAATTGGCCACATATATCATTCAAATAAAATAGCACATTGATATATAAATCCGATTATATATAAAAAAAATCTAATTGAATTATATGTGCAGTCAAATATTTCCGTGTAAACTTATTTGAATTTGTCCGTTTATATGAAATAAAATATCCTACTTATATTTAAGCGAACGAAAGTCGTATAACCAAACAAATAAATTGACATTTTCAAGAAAAATATTATTTCTGAAATAAATTTAATTTTATAGTCAAGTCTGTTGAAGTGTGGATGTCATCTACGCTAAACCCAGAGAAATGATAAGTGAAAATTTACGTTTTATCGCTATACAAGTGTACCCATGTCGTCAAAAATGACAAAAATTCTTAGAAAATTTAACAATGGGAGTCAATGAAACAAAGCTCTTGAGCCAATATATTGTGAATCAATAAAGCGGATGCCAATGAAGCGTGTAATTTATTCGTTCTCGAATTTAGAGTTTTCGTAAAAAGACTTATTGTTATATGACTTGTATTAAATAACAAACATAACAATTACGTCATCCATCTATTTTTCTGAGATGCGGTATTTAAATATTTTTACTATCTACATTGTTAAGACTGTTGTCCACATATTTATCCTTCCAAAGGCTACATGGTCCAGTGCATAAAAGCGTCGGCTGAAGTAATCCAGTGACTTGAACAAAAGAGATGTGAGTTCAATACCTGGTAATTGCAGAGGTGAACAAAAGAAATCGGAGAGCTGTGATACTAAAGGGAAAACTGAGATATCCAGAAAAGGCATGCCACGTGGAACTAGAACAATCTACCCAGCGGACTAAATAAAGGGTTCGGTTCGAAATTCTAACGTATATTGCATGACGAAGGCCGGAGCGTACAACCGTCGAAACGTCGTGTATATGGGAATAAAGATGGTCTGGACAATGTAAATAAAGAAAATAGCAATTACGTGTATTTCGTTATATTGCATGACGAATGTTTTTTTAAAGAACATTTTAAAAATTAATGTTTACTGATCATTGCGAACCTCCGAATCAGCAGTCGGGTTGTAGGCGTCCTGCGGGCCGTAGCTTACCCACAGCTACCCTAGAGCAATGATCAACAAATTTCTCTCGCTTTATCCCTCACTCTTGTAGCCTTGTGCCAGTCTATGTACGAAAATATCCGGACTCCACCCTGCAGCATGTTCATTGGCCAGCTTCTTCAGCAGACCACTGCAAGCCGTTTGGGGAGCAGTTGGTATCCCACTTTTGCCATGTTTCGTACAAATCCCAACAAACACGCACGCAAGATATGCACACACACACACACACACACACACACACACACACATCTACACACACACACATCTACACACACACACACACACACGTGTGTGTATTTGGTATCAGCGCGTGTGTTTCAGGAAGCTGTCAAATCGAAAATGTCGTTATCGACGTGGCAAGACAATGCGTAATCAGTCTGCGGATAGCCTACAAATTTTAGGACCATTACGAAATTGAACATAAGTAAAATCGGCCGGAACTAAAATGGACATTTCAATCAGACAAGAGTAGAGGAAGAAGTAGGGTATGACGGGAAGGCTCCTGGATTGTGAAAGTGATGTTGTCGTGTAATAGTGGGGTTAAAGGTAGGTCGGCAAAGAGATACGTATTACATGTCAGGCACCAGTTACTCTTGGCTTATAACAATGACGTTTTAATTATAGAGAGGGAACACAATGACGAGTGTCCAGAACATCTTCTTCCTTATTATAGTGAGCTAATACCATGAATGTTTGCTTGCGTTAGATTATCGCTCGTCAAAATACGTGACCATAAGCAACATATTTGTATGACCAGTTGAACTTATGAGGATTGAACTTAACTGATTTACAACTATATTAACAGTGTTTGTTTACATATGCTATGAGAAGATATTTCCGCCACCAACTGTTCTGTAAAAAAGACACCGAAAACAGCTATTGCGAAATTCCAAAACTGTTTTAATAGCAGTTGCGCATTGAATACATTTGCCATATCTAGTTTGATGCTCCTGCTATACATCTCGAGATTCTTGACAAAATCGAAAAGGTCTGTAGCGTAACCGATCCTGACCTGGCATATCGACTTGGCTTCCCACTGTCCTTTCTAAAAATGGTAACTGCCCGATGAGCCATTTTCAGTACCCTGACTTATGTTCAATTTCGTAATGGTCCTACAATTTGTAGGCTATCAGCAGACTGATTACGCATTGTCTTGCCACAATTTCGATTTGACAGCTTCCTGAAACACCCGCGCTGATACCAAATACACACACGTGTGTGTTTGTGTGCGCGTGTGTGTATATGTAGATGTGTGCGTGTGTACGTGTGTGCATTTGTAGAACTAACCACACTTTTTAAAGAGCCAAATACAGACTCCTGGTACACTACGTGCCCTAAACAACCCTCCGCAGGTTTTGAATTCAGAGTTGTCCTCCAAGACCAGTTGCCATCCAAGGCTCTATAACCCTGTTTATCTTGCTATAAGAGGGAGATAAAGGAGATTAATACCTTTCCTAATTAGCACATTAGTATTACCACGTGTTGACTGGAATTCGAACTCGGCTCTCCGATTCCTCAATCCGAGCCGCTATCCACTACTCCACCGCGCCTTATATAGACAGCCATCTTATATAGACATTTTAATTCATCAGTTGAACGATACTAACTCTTATCTTTATACACCTTACAAAGGTTCTCAGTTGGATTTATATAAGGAGAACATTTTGGCCAACACATAATGTCAGCGTTGTTCTGCAACTTTTCTTACTTGCTTTATACCCAATGGACTGGAGCATTGTCCAGTTGGAACTTCCATTTGGCACGAGAAATTTCTTCTGCATAAGATGCTGTGAACCGTCGAAAAGATTTTCATATCTGAAAGCCTTACACCGATTTCTGATGAAGGCTATCGCTGTTTTTTTTTCCAATTGGTGGAGACAGGGACGTAACATGATTGATAATACGAGTGGTTTCTGTATTTTTGTCTGTTTTCACTCAATCTTTGACTTTAAGAAAAGTAAAATATGTTAGATTGATATATGTTTCCTATTTTTTTTCTTTTCTTTTCTCTTTCTGTCGGATTGCGAAACATATTTGATCTGCATTTGATCTTTAATATATATATATATATATATATATATATATATATATATATATATATATATATATATATATATATACTTCCACAAATGAGTAGATATAATGGAAGAAATAAGTATTCTATGAACGAAGAACATATCTTACACCAATTATCACTTACCTACACCTTCCCCAGCACGCATTCACATACATGCATATATAAATACATATATAAATACATACACACACACACACACACACACACACACACATATATATATATATATATATATATGTGTGTGTGTGTGTGTGTGTGCATCTAAGTGATTACCATGACAAAGCTTGATTCATGATTTATTTAAAATGTTTATAAAGTTGAAATGTTTATTTATAATGTTTATTTAAAATTACATTTGAATTGATATCAAATTTCATTTTTTTTATATATTTATTTGTATTTCTATTTTAAATTTTACATATTTCTTATAGTTTCAGTAATGATTTATTAAGAACAATGGAGTAACCTTGTCGTACATTAATATTTGTTGATTCGAAGTCCATGGCCCTTTCTTTGTCTGATTAATTTATAATTATTTTTTTATTGATCAACCATTTTGACATATACATATATGCGTGTGTGTCTATATGTGTATGTATGCGTGTGATTATAAAGAAATAAGCGGCTGAGGAATCGATGTATCAATGCCTTCGTGACTATATTTGATGTGCATTGATCTCCATAATTTGCAATATTGCTTAAGTAATTATGAGCCTACTATTTTGTGCGTAATACTCTCTACACACACACATATATATATATATATATATATATATATATATATATATATATATATATATATATATGTTTTAAGACATTTTGTGTTTATACATTCTTTTTATAGATACAAATATTTAAGTAAATGCTCTGTTCGTATCTATAAAAAGAATGTATAAATATAAAAATGTCTTAAAATAATTGTCGGACTTTCCATTTCATAATGTGTGACGTCATATGTAGGTATGAATCTTCACTTAGAAATATTATAAAGAAATACACTACCCTAACTGACCCGAATAAAAAAAAATCAAAATAATTATCGACGATAAAAAAAATTAAATCATCTAACCCTATCCTCAAAAATAACAACACACCAGCAAATTCAAAATTACAACGAATGAACATTAGCTATGAGTTCAAATGCCCCTTAAATGAACAAACCGAATTTATAAATAATTACATCGGACGCACTACTACATGCCTATCCAGACGTCTTATGTCACACCTATCTGATCACAGTTCTATTAGAACCCATTTAAACAAACACACACAGAAACTTACCAGACCCATCCGAAGCATACTAGTAGAAAATACAAACATTATAATCTCATCCACATGTAAAAAATGATTAACAATAATGGAAGCATTAATAAAAAAGAAAATAAAAAAAAACAACACTTAATTATAGTAACTACGAACACGGCTGCAATGTGTTGTGTTCGGAAAAAAATAAAACATCTCTAACACTAAAATCAGACACAATACACGCACACCCAATTAAATTTAAAAAATAAAGTTCTTGATAATGGCTAAAAGTATAGCCGAAAGCGCTCGGAATTCCAGGGCACTTGGATAGATTCTACACACACTGTGTCCCAAAGGGAATATACTTGTTCGACCACAAGAAAAATTAAATAAAAAGCTTAACCGTAGAATCTTTTCTGTCGTTTTTAATGAAACATACATAATTGAAGGATTGCTGCCTAAATACACAATATATATATATATGTGTGTGTGTTTGTGTGTGTGTGTGTTTGTGTGTGTGTGTGTATGTGTGAATGCATTACTACTGCCTCTGCTCCATATTTTGCCGCCATTTTGTTTAATACTTGCTTTTATTTGGCCTGTTCGCCATTTCATTTCTGTACGTTGCTTACGAGCCTCTCTGTTTCTTCGTCCCTTTTTAGACGTATATTTGTCCGAGTGCGTCTTTATGAATGCCTTTTTTCTTTTGAACTCTTTCCTCGTCCGTAAAGACGACGAACTTCAAATTACCTTGTCCATAGGTGTGTCTGGATAGGCTGAGACCACGAGCAAATGTGTGTGTTATGTTAATCTCGGTGTGCGTCGAAAGCGATCCATCTTTCAGCGCGTTAAGTTCTTTCTGTGTGTGAGCGTGTCGGATCGGAAGCGGGAAGTAGTGGTGGTGATGGAGGGTGTTGGCGATTGGAGGCCTACGCTGACAATATTTTATTAGTCCAAACATTGCTGACAGAGAACTTCGTCCACGTCTTAGCAGCTCAACTAACAATGATATTTGAGAACGTCAAAATATGCAAATGAGGGAGCCGATCGAAGAAAGAACGACAGACGGCAAATAACACGTGCAGATGTGTACGCATGCGTGCAGTCGAGCAAGTTTGCATATTCATAAGGAGTGTGACTATGTGCAGGAAATAAGACGAAAGTTTATCGTCATATGCGTTTGCGCAAGTTTTGTGTTAGCTTCTCCAACACACAAAACTTGTAACTAATGTGAATGTGAAATTGTGTTTAGCTATATTTGGATAGAATTCTTGTCTTCCTCGCTGTGTGGATTTAATTACTGTTATTTTCCTTCTGCCTTTTTTTCCTTTCATTCAATTTTCATCCAGTTCATTCTCCGACTCTCATCAGTCGAAATTTTTTTGCCTGATATAAAGTCTGTTTGATCAGCTTTGGTAACTTAATCCTGTTTGGTCAATACATACATATATATATATATATATATATATATATATATATATATATATATATATGTGTGTGTGTGTGTGTGTGTGTGTGTGTGTGTGTGTGTGTGTGTGTGTGTACATATTATGTGTGTGTGTATTATTATCAATTCACATCATACAAGGTGATAATGGTACTAATATACAAGGAACTACTGGAAGTAAAAGAGGAAAAAATTTTATCCTGTTTGGTCAATACATACATACATACATATATATATATATATATATATATATATATATATATATATATATATATTATTATTATTATTATTATTATTATTATCAATTCACATCATACAAGGCGATATTCAAGGACTACTGGAGGTAAAAAGGAAAAATTTAATACTGTTTGGTCAACACACACACACACACACACACACACACATATATATATATATATATATATATATAAATAAAAAAAAAGAACAGTAAGATATAAAATCCGGTGTTCTTATAGATATTTTATTTTTACAAAATAGTGCTTTTTTTTTTTTTTTTTTTTTTTAAATTCAGACGACATCCATTCAACCGACGTCAGGTTTCAGTGTAAAATACATCCTCACCCCTTACCAAAATGTAGCTAATAACTGATACAATGATACTGTCATAAGGAAAATCTAGACACCCCTTGTTCAATTTGAGTAGAATATTCTGTAACCATGGAAACGTGATTTTAGCTGTGTATTTAAAACCCGGTAAATTTTAAAAGTTACTCCAAAATTCGCTTGAAGATGAAATGGAACTAATGCTTTTAATCTATTTGCAAAAATAAAATTAGGGGTTTTAGCTTCTATTTTTGAAACATGGTTGGAACTGTGTAGCGAAAATAACCATATTTTAAATCAATTAATTTATAATATATATATATATATATATATATATATGTGTTACTATTATTATTATTATTATTAATTCACATCATACAAGGTGATAATGCTTCGAATATGCAAGTGATTACTGGGAGGAAAAGAGGAAATAATTTAATCCTGTTTGGTCAATACATACATACATACATACTATACACATATATATATACATATATATATATATATATATATATATATATTATCAATTCACCCCGTACAAGGTGATAATTCTACAAGGACAAAAGGGGTCTACTTGAAGTATAAGAGAAGGAAAAAAAAAAGACTTTTAAAAAAACTCGGAGACCCAATAATGGTATAATTTTCAGATTTTAGGCGGATACGTTTGAAGTAAATTTTAGAAGTAACCATAAACCCAATACTAAACAGAAAAAAAGGGGATAAACCTCTACTCCTGTTCAAAAGAGCAGTGGATATGGTATCGCAGGTATGTGTGTGTGTGTATTTTTGTGTGTGTAAGCGAGGGTGAGAACCAGAGATAAATATTGAAAGCGAAAGAGAAAGAAAGAGATGCATCTCTTTTTAGGATAACCCAGAGATAATGTTTTTTTTTTTTTTCTTAATCCAATTTGTTTTATAGAAAACTCAAACATTTTATCATGGAATTTCCTTCCCTGCCTAATTTTTCATCTATACACTGGGCCTGCACAACATTCTATCATTTGTGACTCTTTTCTATCCCTTTTACTCCCTGTCTTACTACCCATTTACACAAGGTTACTCATTGTTATCTTCCGGACCTTGCGTATTTTCAGAATACAATGTGAGTGCCAAATTCTCCAAGCCCGCTTTCCTCATTATCTATAACCATATATTTAAACTCTTTCAAGTTATAAGTATAAATGTATTATGTATTTCAATTCCCCTTAAAGCATCATTGCCCACATGCTTCGCCTATTCTTAGCAGCCATCTATAGGACTGCATTTCACTTGTCTTAAATCTCCTTTTCATCTGCGAGGAACTTGTTCAGCCTTCACTGCCATGTAGGAGGACTGGTATTACATAGATTAGACAGTCGTGAAACAGGTTAGTTTTATCCCACCGATCGACACGTGTGTTATGTCATCCGTGTCTACTGTTATCCCATCCAGTACGACAGAAACCGCAGGATCGGAGCAACGTTTCGCGTGCTGGCTCGAACGAGCGGCGGTGCCACGCGGCCTCCGCGCTATATTGACTGAAAGCCTCTAAGCCAAAAATGTGACCGGTGCCGCCACGGTATTACGAAAAGTGTCTCTTTTCGTTCCGCTGGAGCGTGTCATAGCGGACGTTGAGCGCTAGGAGCGGCTGCAGTTGTAAGGGTCGGCGGCCATCGTCGTCGCTGCTCCTTCGGTTGTTGTCGCTTCGCGCACGGCGGCGAATTCGACTTTCGCGACAGGCTAGATTTTGCCTCCGCCGCTTCATTACTTAGAACCCCACCGTGGAGCTTGAGACGAGGGATAACACGTAGACCGCTTGATTTCAGGCTCGGAGTGTGTCGTATTTATTAGAGCAGCCACCACACTGCCATCTATTGAGACCAAGCCCTCGACCGACTCAACGAAATACATGGAATTATCCTTCTGTTGCCTTCAGTTTTCTTTCAGCTATAGGAAGATTGGCCAGCATTCATTGCCATATTAGATGACTCAGATCAATCCACCACTCTTTTCTGTGTTTATAATGTTATTTTTTCTGTTTTTCAGCAATTTGCTTAGGGAAAAAATACGTCTTTTCCTAATCCAATCTGTATCCGGATTAGGTATCGCATGTTCCACCTTTTGAAAAAACAAAACCCTCCCAGATGCTTAAACTTCCGTACTTGCTGACGACCACACATTCTTTCTTCCTGCAATCAATGTTTGCTCCGAATAACAAGGTATATAATTATCAATTCAAAATATTACTGATCTTGAATTCTTTATCTAAATTTAATTCAAGCCTCCAAGAGTTATTATTAAATAATGATAATATATAAGATTTTCCAAACCCTCTTACCTTATTACGAGTTTTAGAAATTGTAACAGTCTCTTTCTGATGTTAAGTATAAGTTTCCTTTTTTTCATTTCCATTTTCTACAAAAAAACTTTGTTTTTCTCACATGTTCAAGTCATGGCATTCTCATTATCCTTCTGTTGAGCCGATATTCCGTTGCTTCAATCACTTCTTTGCCTACGAGGAGGGATTCGACACTAGGCTTTATTCTGATTTTTTTAATGTGAGAATTAAAGTTTGGGGGTATAAATCATAAAGCCCTATTGATAACTTTTTTTATAGTTTATTATTATTAATAATAGTTGCAGTAGTATATCGGTACCCTGGAGACAAAGTGACAGTAAGTTTCCATATATCTTGTGTCGTCGCTTAATTATCATCAGTCAGTCAGTTATGTGCCAAGCTTAGGCGATCATGAATCTTTCGATACATGACTCCAGATTTTTTTTTAAGTAAGTTGACAGTTGCCATCCAAGGCTATAGAACCCGGTCTGTCCTGTTATTTACTCAGAGTTGGATGAGAAAAAGAGGAATCAAGGATAAAGTAAGTGAATGTAAAGGATTCGACTGGAATTCGAACTCGGCTCTCCGATTCCTTAGTCCGAGCCGCTATCCATTACTCCACCTAATTATCATCACTATCTTTTATTCTAAACTAGTTCTTATTACTCTCGCCCTGATTAGCCGTATTTTATTTTCCTCGCCGTTGTCATTATTAATATCATTGTGATATATTTATTTATGTTAATCCTGAGAGAAAACGAACTGAAGAACCAGGAGAAGAATAAAAAAAACAAACATGTTTAGCAACAGCGGTAACTGAAAACTGTCCAATGTGAGAAAATAAAAGAATGAAGAGACTACAACAACGAGAACATCGGAAAAAGCAGTTCGATCAACATTAATTAAAAGATGAAACAATACAAGAGGCGGAAAGTGAGGAGAGAGGGTGCATAATTCATGAAAAGCTCCGGTTTGAAATGACAGATCAGTGGAGACGAATGAAATCGCACAGATGTCGGCGAAATTTAACGAAAGAACGAGAGAAAGAAAGAAACGTTCAAATAGGTGGGTTAATGTGAAGAAAAGGGAAAATAAAAATGGCGACAAAGAAGGAAGAGCGGGAAAGAAAATAAAAGAAATAGGGAAACATGATTGATATGAAATTATGGAAGAAGAAAATATGCATAAAAATAAAGTCTCCAAATTCAGGAGAATAAACAAAGAAAAGATAAACAAGGAAAATAAGGAATGTCACAGAATAATTAAAAAAAAAAAATAGAGGAAAATATAAAAAATGGCGACAAAGAAAAGAGTAGAAATAATATAGAAAATGATAAAAGCTATAAAAAAAAGTAAAAAAAAAATTGAAAGAAAAAGAAATAAAGGAAATAATCTACATAAAATAAAGATAAAACAAAAGAATTGTCAAAAGAAAGAAAAAAGAAAGAAAATAATAAGAAAATAATAGACGCCATTTTTGGCGTTGATTTTTTTTTTATTGATTTTTCTTTTTTTAAAAGACAAAACTAAAAAATAGATAAAAAAAGAAAAAACGATGTAAAGAAAGAGAAAAAAAGAAAATAATTCATCTTATAAAAAAAGTAAAGAAAGAAATACAAAATAAAAGAAAGAAAGAAAACAATAAACGCCATAAAACAAAACAAAACAAAAAATTGGAAAAGGAAAGAAAGAAATGTAGAAAAGCATAAACTGAGAAGGGAAAAAAATCGGGTATCTCGAAAATTTATAAATTCTTGAACGTGTTGTTCCGTAAAACATGTGAAACGAAAGAAAATAGTAAACAAGAAAGACAGAAAGAAATTAAAATGAATTAAAATAAAAATTGTGCAAAAAAAAGAAAGACAAAAAGAATTGTGATTGAAAGAAGAAATAAACAATCAATGAAAGATAAAAAAGGAGGAAAAGAAAAGACAATTGAAGTAAACAAAGAGAATAATTAAATCTATGAAAAGAATAAGTAATATACAAGTATTATAATTAAAAAAAAGGAAAGCAGATGTTATTGAAAACAAACAAGAAAAGAGAAGATGGTAGAACGGAAAAAAATGTAAAAAAAAAAAAAAAAATGGCGGATGCATCCAAAGAAAAAGGAAACGATAAAGAAAGGATGTAAAAGAAAAGAAAATGAAGAAAACGCACAATGAAGGAAAGACCGATTTAAAATGAGAAAAAGAAAGGAATTAAGAGGAAAATTAAACGATACAAGTAAATTAAGAATATATTAAAATAAGAAAGCAAGTAAGAAAGAACCAAAGAGAGAAAAAAGAAAGAAGAAATAAAAATAAAAAAGGAAAAAAAGTCAAAGAATGAAATATGAGAAAAAGGAAAAAAAGAAAAGAAAAAAAAAAGACCGGCTAGAAAATGGACAAATCAAATCAATGCAAAAACAACGCAGCTGAAAGATAAAGAGATTTTTTTTAAAGAATGATAACAAAAATATTGATGGGAAGAAAAAAAAATAATAATTTAAGAAAACGACAATAAAGCATAATAGGAAAAAAAACAGAAAAATGTCAAAAAAAAATTCATGATGAGGGAAAAATGAAAAATAGTCTTTTCCAAACAAACCGAAGAAAAGCAGAAACATGAAGAAAGTAAGTAAACTGCAGATTTTCAATATGAAAAGCACATCAATAATTAAAAACAAAATAACTGTACGGAATAAAGAAAGAAAAAGCAAAATAATAAAAGTATAATGTAAATTAGCAAATCAAATTAAAAAAAATAAATAACCAAGACCGCGCATAAGAAGAGAATATGGCAGTATCTGTCTCTTGCGCTTGAGCCTCAACTGAATAGTGGCAAAAGCAGGATTGTTTCAGATCGAGGCTGTCCGGCTGCCATGATGGATTATGGCGGCACATAAAAACGAAATTAATTTCACAAATGTAAATTTCGCACCGCGCGTTTCCCGATTCCGTTATTTCAGAGAAGCGCGTGTCCATTGTGCATGGGAAGGACGGACGGAATTTAATCTGCGAATCATTTATAATTTCTGACAGATCAATTACATTTAATGAACAAGTCTTTGTTAGTGGCCGAAATTAATTGTAAACGATAGTGCACACGGTGAGGCAAATCTATCACAATTTTTAATTGGCCACCATTACGAATTTAGCAAGGAGAAAAAACTTTTAGGTACTATTCTGTCTTACATAAAAAAAATAGTAGCGAACATACACGAACTCTGTGGTAATAATACATATTTGATAGAAAAAGAAATTTGGAAACACAAAGTTGCCATCCAAGGCTATAGAACGCAGTCTGTCCTGTTATTTACCCATAGCTGGAGGGAGAAGAGGATTAATACCTTTCCAAAGGGTATGAGCACGTAAATGAATGTAATGGATTCGACTGGAATTTGAAGTCGTCTCTCTCTCTCTCTCTCTCTCTCTCTCTACACACACACACACACACACACACACACACACACATATATATATATATATATTAGGTTGGTGCAATAATAATGACGTAGTAATGTCGTTTTGTGACGTATTTTTTAAAGTCCAAAAACGACATTATTACGTCATCATTTGCACCAATCTAATATATATATATATATATATATATATATATATATATATATATATATATATAGGCTGACCGCTCTAACTGCTAGGAGGCTCTCGCCAATCCCTGTTGAACATTTGTGTTTGTTCAACGCCTACACAGCCTATTTATGGTTCATACTGCAACTATGCTGAGCGGATCTTAGTTTCTGAGAGACGCAGTGGATCATTTGGTGTGATCAACATTCTGAGAGAGATTAGTTAGCTCAAACTCTCGGTGACTTGAGACTTCGTGCTACCGTAATCACTGATTGCTTCCAAATAGTTCGAACTAAAAGGCTTGGTTCAAACCGTTGTATGATTTCCGGCACTTTACAAAAGTGCCGCAAATTGGGATCATCTTGTCACGCCGATAACATCACCATTCAACCATGATGACATTCGAATACGGGTCTCATAGTTGGAAAGCGAACGTTCTACAAACTTGGCCTCCATGTTAGTTTGAAATATAGGAACATGAATGCTTTAAATATATATTTTTTGTTTTTGCTAACTTGGCTTCAAGCATTTTCCTGGTTTCTGCGCAAAGTTTGCATATAGTAATTTTCCAAGCGTAGCTTAAATGTGGCACAAGGCCGAAAGAAAGGAGCACTCACTACTCAGTTGTAATTGTTCTAGCGAGACAAGCTTGCTAACCATTATACCGCCTCGAGTTGCCCACAAAGTTTCCATATAAATTGCTTCCATTAGCCAATATTCATGTATTTTGTTGGAGATTAACAAGATTAGGCCTGTGCATTGTGATGCTCTTTTTGTTTTCACGTGCTGCATTTTCTTGTGGATAGAGTGTCATGTTTTTTGTGTGTGATATCACATCTTCACGCGTCAATTTTTATTTTTTTAAATTTTGAAATATGTTTGATATCTTTGATTCAAATTGAAATGAAATTATATTTCTGCTAGACAGTTTTATTTAGCACACTGACAATATTTGTTCGGCTTACTTTCAAGAAAATGGCAGGAACAAATGGAAAAAAAGAAATATATTTTAAACAAAAACTTCGCTAGGTCTTCAAGGGAAAATCATACACTAAAAAAAGACCCATGTACAGTGTGCACTGCGTAAATCGTCATCATTTTATATTTTTTAATTTCGCGCATGCGTGTTGTTTGTTTTTGATTTTGTCAAATTTTGTATAGTAGGGTCAGTTAGGCACCGTCTGTAAGAAAAAGAACAAGATGGCGGAATTCACTCCGCCAGAAGTTTGAAAACGTCATGCTGCTGTACTGCTTGCCAATCGCAACGGAAGCTCTAATGCGAACATTTCAGAGTGTTTGGGTGTCAATCTGAGGACAGTAAATAGAATTTAGAAAGAGTTGAATGTGTCTAAAGGTTATTACGAAGGTGTTTGGTGTGATGGCGACGTTATGCTCCCATTCATCTCCCCACAGAGCCTCAAATTAAACACAGTGCCTTGCGGATGTAGTGCTGCCCTGAACCACGAGGGTGACTGCTGGAAAAAAATGTATGGCAGGAGAACCCAGTCATGGCTGTCAGACAATTTCTGCGATCAAATCATCCCGTACATCTGGCTACCTACGTCCCCAGATCTCAACCCTTTTGATTCTTGGGTGTGTTGCATAGTTGGGCGAGACACTAACAAAACTCCTTATAAAACAAAAGATAGAAGGATTCACCCACTTAAACAAGGAGACCGTCCAGAAGAGAAGCAGGAGATTCGGAAGTCGTCTGGAGGCCGTGCTTGAAGCTAATAGTGATTTTATTGGTTAAATTTACACTTTAATATTTCAAGATATTTCTGCGTAATTTTGTTAAATTAAGATGTCAGTATTATTTTAATTTTTACGTAGTTTAAACGACAATTTATCCATCACGCACTATATATATATATATATTTAAACACTATTATTCCATGGTCATAATTTGTTTTATTGGAATCGTAAATACGATCCAATTCATCAGGCCTAATTTGTAGGTCTGATGAATTGATCATATGTTGATACCAATGGAATAAATTATGACCATAAAATCAAAGTGTTTAAGCCTTTATTATATCCTTACTCTCTCCTGGACATTGAGTTCTACCTGGATTCTATCATCTTGGAATTTTTTTATTTAAAAACTATATATGCATGTGTATTTATGTATGTATATATATTTATATATTTTGCATATGTATGCGTAGATTTACCACTAATATTATATATATATATATATATATATATATATATATATATATATATATATATATATATATATATATATATATATATATAGGGCGCCTCTACTTACCTATCAATTTATTTAGTTGTTTTGATTATGCGTTCCTACTTTATTTAGTTGTTTTGCTTACTCGTACCGGGTTTTTTTTTCTTTGGTCTTTGTACTTGCATGCTAGACGATTATTTTCGGCTAACGTACATGTCCTTGCTTTTTCTTTTTTTTAATACCTTTTTTCCCCTTTGATATTGGTTTGATTATTTGCAAATCAAGACACCGAAGGTTTTCCGGACGAGTGTATATATATATATATATATATATATATATATATATATATATATATACACATTTCCACTATCCTGAAAATTTATACATATATATATATATAAAAAGAAAGAACAGTGAGATATAAAATCCGGTGTTCTTATAGATATTTTTATTTTTACAAAATAGTGCTCAATGTAAATTTACAGAGCATTAATATTATAAATTAATTGATTTAAAATATGTTGTTTTCGCTACACAGTTCCAACCATGTTTCAAAAATAGAAGCTAAAAACCCCGAATTTAATTTTGCAATTAAATTAAAAGCATTAGTTCATTTCATCTTCAAGCGAATTCTCTTGAAGATGAAATGGAACTAAAGCAAAATTAAATTGGGGTTTTTAGCTTCTATTTTTGAAACATGGTTGAAATTTTGAAAAAAACATATTTTAAATCAATTAATTTATAATATTATATATATATATATATATATATATATATATATATATATATATATGTGTGTGTGTGTGTGTGTGTGTGTGTGTGTGTATGTATAAAGTTTCAGGATAGTAGAATGTAGAAAAGAGTCCGGTCATTGGCTTCGATGGAAAGGAAAAAAATCTTTGAGCTGGTAATGCCAAAATCTATGTATCAACCTCTGATGTAGACATAGTCGGCCTCCGCGCTCAACAATGCCGGATCAACTCTGCATTTGTTGTCTATATATCTACGGAGACAGGTTTCATTTATTATTCTAGTTGGCCGCTGGATCTATGTCCTTTGACATTATTTTTTAATAACTTCTTTTTCTTTGGTTTTGGAGAAACATATACAGTTATCTACTTATTAAATGTTTTCTTACCCAGGTAATGTTATGTGAATATATTTAAAGTTTTGGAATAGTGGAAACATTCGAAATAGTCATGATGGGCAATGTCAAACAAAGTTTTTCCTGACCGCTGTTGTTAGAGGAATTTCATTCTTATTCATTTACTAGTAACACCTGCTGCCTTTCCTCGTCACATCATGAATTGTGTGACTTATTAGAGTAAGACTGGGTTTCCACTTCCTTCTGAAGTCTTTTCATTATCTTTCATTCCCAGTAGATACTTACGTCTTAGTGACATTATTGCATTTCTTGTGGTGAATTGATTAAAAAAGAAAAAAAAAACAACCGTTAACTAACAGCAACATTTTAATAACGAACACCTATAACCACTATGCCACCATCCTGAAATCTATCAGTGATGTATTTTTGGAATTAGAAAAGTTTTGTTATTTTATCGTGGCAAATTTATATTTTATATTTTTGTGTTAACAAATTTTAAATATACGTATTCGATTTATTCAAGGCACTGTTTCATCTTTGATTGTTACAGTTATTATTATATGCTTTCCTTAATACTTCCAACAAAAGTGTAGGGAGGAAGCTACTAACAGTACTAGAAAGAGCAATAACAGTTAGTGGAATCAAGAATACTTTTATTTTGACAGGAAGTTTTTTATAAATTTCAACAGTAATTAGATGAATGCTGATATTTCCAATATAAGGAAACATTTAACATTGCTGAAAGCACTTATCCAACGTCTTTGCTGTTTTGCTTTTGCGAGCGATTTACTCAGACTACTTAAGTAGGTTATTCGCTACTTTTCACGGCTTATCTTGCCTTTAAGATATCCTATGAGAATTACATTCTCTAAGCTTTCCTTCCTAGCTTTCAATCCCAA